GACTCGACGGCACATAACAACAACAACAATAGAAAAACCTAGTCAAGATGTTACAAGAAAAGGAAATTGCAGCCCAATATTTTTCATGAATATGGGGGGGATGTCTTACTTAAATATAAGCAAATTTAATATGTATTGTAACCCAGGCCATGTTCTTCTCAACTACTTGTTATGCTTCAGAGAGCTGGACAGTGACTAAGGATGACAGAAGAAGAATAGATGCCTTCAAGTGGTGGTGCTGCAGAAGAGTCTTGAACATGGACTGCCAAGAAAACACATAGGTCTGTCTTGGAGAGGGTGAAATCCAGTCTCTCCTTGGAGGCTAGGACTTGGAAGCTCCGCCTCACTTACTCTGGACACGTGGCCAGGAGAGATCAGTCCCTGGACAAGGTCATCATGCTCAGAAGGGTCGATGGACAGTGCAGGAGAGGGAGACCCCAGATGTGATGGATTGATAAAGTAACTGGGGTGATGGGGGTTGGTGTGTCAGAATTGGTGAGACTGGCTCAGGACAGGGAAGGGTTCAGAGCTGCTGTTTCTAGGGGCGTCGCTATACGTCACAGGCGACTCGATGGCACATAACAACAATGTTCGCTTTCTATCTCTGTGATGGTTCACTTTAAGTCTTGCAGGACGGTAAAAATGACACATGCCTTCTTTTGAGGTCCATACACTTAATTTCCACGGTCTTGTCGCCACAAGGATGCCTTCCACATCATTTGTATTGTATTCTTAGAAAGCTGCCCCATCCCTTTGGCAGGTCACAAGAATATTACTTAACCTAGTTGCATGTCGCTATGAGTCGCAAGCGACTCGACGGCACATAGCAACAACAACAACAGTGCCATGTCATCTGTTGGTGAGAATTGCAAAACCGTGGCTACGAAAGCTATTAGCAAGTAATCCCAATACATCGCACTGATCACACAATTGTAGAAAATCCCCACTTCTAGCCTCATACTTAAGGGTGAAATACTGAAAGCCTGCCCCTAAGGTTGAGATCAAGACAAGAACATCCATTGTTAACTATTTCTATTCAACCTTTTGGTCTCATTTAGAGTGAAATGTAGTAAGAATGAGAACTAGAAAGCAGTCACAGTGTAGGGAAAAATGAAGAGCTTCCTCTCTTCGCAGGTGATGTGACTATGGTTGCAGAAAATTCTGAGAAATCTCCAAAACAAGGTTTTATGCAAAGTAAACGACATAGAAGAGCTAGTGGGGGGGAAAACAGCCCCCCGAGTGAGGTAGTGACTCTGTAACATCCGAGGATGAGTCCTAGGAAGCGCTGAAGCTTCCGTCTGGCCGTCTTGGAGTGTTCAAACCGTTCATAACTCCTTCTCCTACTCTAGTAATTAGATTGCTAAAAGGGGTCCAAGATGCACAGAGAGGCCGTATGTGGGCTCTTGGCACAGAAGCTGAGTTTCCAGGTTACAGCTAGCTCTGTCCTTGAACATACTACTTGAATAGATGCCTTGCCAACTGATGTATCCCCACAGCTATCATCTTGAGACCCAAGTGACAATCATCCAGTTAAATCCAGTTATTGTTGTTGTGTTGTTGTGTGCCATCAAGTTGCCTGTGACTTGTAGCGACCCTGTGTACAACATCCCTAACCCCTACTCTGTCCTGTGTCAATATTACTGTCTCTGACACACCTACACCTGTTATCCCAGTCACTGAATCAATCCGTCTCATAGAGGGTCTTCTTTTC